AATTGATGATCGTTAAATTTAGATCTACTACAAATCGTGGTGATAAGATAAAGTAAATGTAATAAAAGCTTGCGAAATAAGTATAGTTCTTTCCATGCGAGTAAAAATAAGATAAAACACGAATTTAGTGAACGGAGAGGATTGAATGCCAGCAGCGTAAAGCTGTAATTTAAGGAAAAACCATTCAGTCACTGGATGAAGGAAACAGAGGTGGCAAAAAATCGGTAGATAACGTTGTGCAAATTGGAGCAAGGCGAAGAGAGGGAAGAGATTTTAAGTCAAAAAAGCTTGAAAATAGAGGTTTTAATTATAAAATCCCAAACTGGGATGCGTTTACTAAATGTGCTTAAAACATGTAGGAAAGACCCTATCAGAAACGGCCAATTGGAACAACGTAAGTTGTCAAACGATTCACCGTAGCTTAAAAAAAGATAGGGTTTGCACGAAAAAAAAGACATACAGATATAAAGAAGGGGGTGAAGAAAAAGAGCCAAATTTTTGAAGATCGTGTCAATAAAAGCTCTTAAATCTGGTATATATTAGTAAATCTGGAATAGATAATACAGAAAATTATCCATGCGGATATTGTTAAAAAGAGAGAGGTTTTACGCACTAAATCAGGAAAATTCAGTATGATTTCAGCTTTAATAAGGAAAAATAGTGACACCCATGACATTCGAAGGCTACCGCTAATATAGCGGTTTTTTTTGGTTTACTATCAAAAACAGAGCTAGAAAGAACTCTCCTATTTTTAAATCTTTTCATTAAGTCATTGATTCTACTTTTCTTTCTATTCTTGAGAAGGACTATATCATTGATAATGCANTGTAATATAGCGGTCTTTAATGTCTCGTTTAAGGATTTTGGTGCCAATTTTACAGCCTGGATAAACGGTGATTTTGGATAACATAAGTTTCTATAAGTCGAAAAAATTGTCGAATTGATCAAAAACTGGTGCAGAAATTCTCTAACTCCCTCTATACCTCCCTGATTTTAAAGATTATGAATAAGTTCTTAAACATCCAGGGGAATTATTCTTTCTCCTCTCTTCTTCTGCGCCTACATGTAATGGACTCCTTTTTTGATCTGGTGGTTGTTGCTCCAAGTCTTTTAGCAGAATCTCGTTAATATCATTGATAATAGACCCCTCCCAATCTTTTGATTGAACTTCTGGTGCATATCTTAAGTCATGTATAGTATTTGCGAATAAACTGCTTATGGCTTTACCCGTAGAGATCGTCAGACCAATAACACCAAAAATTATCATTATCTGGCTAACCTTAATAAATACTGCTGTTATAGCAATAACAAAAATAGGTAGAAAAACTTTCACAAGTACATTACTTACCAATTCTGTATCGCTTTTTGGTAGTTCATGCTCTTCTTTGCTTCCTAAAAATGGAATCTTGCTCAACATCCCTTTTTTAAAGGAAGTAGTAATCTTCTTAGAATCTATTTTTATTCCAACAAGCCATCCAAAACCTTGTATCAATAAATCGTTACGTTGCGTATCACGTACATCACTAATGCACCCATTCACTAATTTTTGTATTTTTTTATTTGTTAAGTTTTCCTTACTTGCCAAATTTTCTACTTTTATTTTTTTTAATGTGGCAAGTAAAAATCGACAAAAATTTTCTTCACTTAGTGGTTTTATCTTTTTTAGATTAACATCCTTAAATAGATTATCAATATTATCATGCAAAAAGGTAGCAAATTCTTTTCCTCTTGGATCTAATGTGTTAGACTTCAATGCACGTAAAAATGCATCATAAATTGGCTCATGCTCTTCCCTGAAATCTTTTTGCTGAATTATTCTCTCATGTTCTTCGTTGGAAGCCTTAGCTTCGTGAGCTGCATGAAGAGCGTTTTTTAGATCCGTCATAACTGTTGCTTACATCATATTACATTTCATTTTAACACATTTTCCATACCAATTCAAATAATCTTTACAATACGACAGCATGGTTAAGAAATTTTAAACCCCCAGTCATTACCCAC